TTTTTAGCGCGCAAACAGTGATTCCACGTTTGCTCACTAGGATCGTTCTGAACGTCCATCTAAAGAGGAATCACTCAACTAAACTACACGCATTATTGGTTGCATATGTTTTGCGAGGCCAAATGGCCCTTGCCTGTAGTTTTGATCTCCGAGAAGAAAGTTGGTTGAATAGCATCTGGATGATTATGTGTATTGGTCTGCATGTGTATAAAATAAGTGTTATTTGCTGTGTGAGAAAATCATTACTGAATATGTTGCCAATGAAGTTGTGGCTGTGCCCGAAGGGTTATTTTTATGTTGTGCTTTCTGAAGAGAGGTTATGTTCAAAGTGATCAATTACGAAAAACTGAGGAGAATTAAGGGAAATCATCACCGCGCTCGCGTTGTGTGGAATTACTTTTAGCATGTATATGGCTTGTAATTCGACAGTGTATAGTTAACATAATTATTTCTTATCTCTCTCGTTTTTGAAATTCAGCAAATTTGTATATGTAATTTCCAGAATGGATAAGAAAAAGTGGATGCGCAACTAATTTCTAGCTTTGAATCTCAATTAAGTGTATTTCAGACAAGAACCCAATGTAATTATCATCAACACATACAACTTACAACTTAGACCTCCAGTAATGCCATCTCAGAAGTAGATTTTACATCACATCAGAGCCAAAGATAGATAACAAGCTTCATGATGTTTAGGCAATACATACAACTAAGTGCTAAGTTAATATCTTGTAGAAAACCTACACAATGTCAAAAAAACAGCATAATGTCAACAAAAATCGGCATAATGTCACTTTTCAAGATACGTGATACCCGTGCCGATCTAGTACATGTTCGCACCACACCAACTACAAAAGTACTCCTTAACATACCTCTTTTGTTATTCCTGGAAGTCGAGGCAAGAAAGATAATCCATAAAGTTTATGATTATGGATGAAACGGACATTCACAACCACCACAGTTTGCCTTCTGCTATAAGACCAAAGATACATTCACACACAGATATACACAGTGATAGTTCCTCAGCAAACTGACATATTAAGGAAAGATATCTGTGCAAACACATATGACTCTAAGATCGAATTAGGTGTTTAGGCAGAGCTTTGTCCTATAGAATAGTGTTTCAGAATTATCACAAAACGACTGGAGCACACGACTATACATATTTCTTCAGATAGTCAAACTGCGCTTGACTCCCCCTAATATACGTCGAAATTGGAGTAGAATTGTAGAATTGGTAGCATAGAATATGGGATTAAGGTCTGTCTAGTATGGATACCCAGGACACCTGCGTCTGAAGGGTAATGAAAAAACCGACATTCTAGCAAATAATGGGGCTAGCTAACTCTTCATAGGGCTTGAGACAGCGATCGATATTGCGTACAAACTTGTAACCTCTGCAGAGATGGTCGGAAAGATCCATCAGCAATGGGAAGGATTAGCAGAGTTAAACATATGCTAAGGCAACTATACCAAGCTTAAAAAAGGTAATAGACTAACTGCTGCGGCTAAACAGAAATAGTCTTTAAGCACTAGTGGGACTGTACACTGGTCATTGCAACAATAGAAGGCTTGGTATGGCGGAAGACGTTGACTGCAGACTATACATGGAGGGAGGCGAAATGGTTGAGCAAGTTTTGTACAGATCTGTTCCGGACTTATTTCCTGCCGATGTTTTGAAGAGCTGTGCAGCGGAGCTTACTCCAGTTCGTTCACATCTCTTCCAGATATTTCACGGATCCGGTACCTTGCCAGAAAACTTGACGTTTGCTTATGTCCAACCTATCCCAAAAAAGGGATCTAAGGCCGACCCTTACAACTGCAGGCCTGTAGCTCTGCTTTCTGTTATAAGTCAGGTGATGGAGAGGTGCATACATCACGAGCTTCTGGAGCACCTCGAACGTCACGGCTTGATTAGCGAAAAGCAGTATATGATGGTTTCCAGCACCAGCGATCCACAGGGGAACATCCCAGCTTACGTCACGCAATGGTGGAGTGAATTCATTCAGTCTTATGGTGAGGATCATGCCGTTGCTCTTGATATCAGGAAAGCGTTCGATCAGCTATGGCACGCTGCCCTGTTTTGCTAATTTTCATCCTGTCGCCTCCCAGAGAAGCTTTGCAGATGGGTGCCTGACTTTGTCTATGGCCGCAAGATATTCGTAGTAATTCACGGGTTCTCCTCTTCATCCCACAACGGCTACGCGGGTGTTTCGGTCTTGGTTCAGACATATCAACAACCTATTTTCCTGTACGATCAATCCAATGTTTTGCTGATGACAGTACTCGATATGCAGGAATGCAGAGCGACAAGCCGCTCTCTGCCGGTGAGCTGAACAAAAGACTAGTAGCGACTTCCTCTCTGACGAGAGACCTGGAGATTATCACCGCTTGAGGACTCAACAATCTTGTACAGTTTAATGCTTCCAAGACATAGTACTGTACCTTGGCGAACAAAAAGGGTCCTAGCGCTCAGCCTTACCCTCAGTCGTTTATTTCGCCTGGTCGGAGTCCAGATCTACGAGAGTTTGATTTGGCATGAACACATCTCGTCAATAGCTTGTCTATAGTTAAGTAATTTTTTTTGGGATCCTCATAGCAGTGTTGGCATTTAGGCTTCTGATTGCGCCGCTTCGGTGTAAAGATGCCCTGCAAGTCAGTCAGATACAATACGCTTGGAGAGGTGTTGCTTCCAGTCAAACACTTGAAAGTTTTAAAAGTAATTCCTCAAAATACGAGTAAGTTGATCGACTTCCTTAGAAGACCGGACCTACTGGAAGACAGTCTGGTAATGACAAAAATAAGATGCACATGTGAAAAAGTTTTCTGGCCTTGTTCTGGGATTTTTTGATTGGTCTCCAGCACAGATCGTGGTTCGCCATGATCATGTACATTGTTCTTGGCGATTCTTGAAGACGCATCTTCTGTTAGAAAGTGCATCTTCTCTAAATACGTTTGACAAATTTCTACACGCTTCCGTATAATTTATTTTTTGTAGGAATTCATACAAAATATGGTGTCGTGAATAGACCCTATCAGCAGCCATGGATACATTAGGTAACATCACCTTTATTTTTTATTACGGCTGAAATTCTTTGGGGCATAGTGTTAACCAAGTTTTGGCAAAAATTTGGTGTAAAACAATCCCATATTTCTTGAAGCTTTTGTCTCATTTCGGTGATTGTACGAGCAGGATGTTGTCGTAGAACCTTTTTCATCTCGTGCCACAAAGTTTCAATAGGTGACAGATCTCGACTGCTAGAAACCCATTTCAAAAGTGGTACATTATTTTCTTCCATCCATTTTATAGCCTTTTTTGAGGTATGGTACGCTGCACCATCCTGCTCAAACACAAAATCTTGGCCGGATGTCAAACATTCTTCCATCACTCGTAAAAGCGATTCTTCTAAAATTGCCAAATATTTGTTTGTATCCACATTTCCAGCAATAAAATGAAGTTTTCCTACTCCTTTTGATGACATACTGCCCCAGACTATAATGGGTGCTGGAAATTTCACTTTTCTCTTCCGACATGGAAAGCTTCATTTTTTTTGCGAATAACTCTACTGTCACCAACAGAAACTTCGAATCGGGCCTCATCACTCCATTGTATTGCACACCATTGTTGAGGTGTCCATTGTCTATGTTCTTTAGCCCATCTAAGCCGATTTTTCTTTTGCAGTGGAGTTAATAGTGGCTTTTCTTTGGCCTATAAACAAGTTGTGCAACATTAGGGTTTTTACTTCACTTTTTTCATAAGAAAACTTACCTTGCAAGTGCTGAAACCCAGTTTGTGAGCCTCTCTATGAGTTGTGGACCTCGAAATTCTCCTTCCAACAGCGTCACTCCACAGAGCACTTAATTGTAAATAATTGGCACGCCTGTTTTTCACGATTATTCTTCTTAATGTTCTTCGGTCGGCATTTGTGATATTACTTTTTTTCACATATCGTGGCTTAATATTAACTGAACCAGTTACGTTATATCTATATATTTCTCACACTGTACCGCGATAAATCTAACAAAGTTGCAATTTCTGAGTTTGATTTCCCAGAATTAAAAAATTGAATTATCAGTAACCGAATTCTCTCACTAAAAACCTTTCATCTACCCATTTTGAAAACCTTAACTACCTAAAACTATTTTAAACGTATTCTGACAGCTGTGATTAATAAAAACAATTGTCATGGCTTTCATTTTTCACAGCCACCTATGCGTTATAGACTTATTTTGCATTGAAATGAAAATAGGTTGATATGCTGTAATTGCAACATGTGTTATTTTTGTGCTGCAAATTGGATTAGAGAGTGATAAAGTTGGTGTTTTCTACTATATATTATCAAAATATTCATTGTTAATATTTTAAACCTATCACACCCTGCTACATTTTTATTATTTGTGTTTGATAAGAAAAAACTAAGATTTCAATAGTTGGGCCAACTGAAGAGCATGAATCGGTTCCATTATAGCTCATTCGCAAGACCAGCATGTATACATTCAGTCGTTGATATTGGAATGGATATAAATTTCCGGTACACCTAACCAAGATTATGATCAGTAAAGCGACTGCTGATTTTTTCAAAGTTCAATACACGTTGATGTTTAAACTCTCTCCTGAATTGCTGATACGACACGCAATTCGTAGATTCTCTCCTTACCTGATGTAGACACCTAAAAATTCCTCTACAGTATGTAATCCTCAAAGTCTCGAGTGAAAGGTGAATCTGATAACAAACATTATCAGCATTAAATGACGTAATTAAACTTAATAATACAGATTGTCAAGCGGATACCTCAAGGCTACCGTTTCATTTGTGTAAAAAACTACAAGTTCTAGTGTTTACACGATGTCGCATCTGCCGAGTCAGAGTAAAGTGCTTAAAGCAGCATTTGAGCCATTGGCTATTGAACCTTCGATAGGTATTACAAATATGTGCTTTAAGTGAGCTTCTTTCAGAAAATCCACCTGTCAGTGAATACAAAATGATTTGTTTTTCCAGATAAAACGTCGACTACAGCACCTCAAATTGCAGATAACGAGAATGTTGAGCACAAGGTAAGAGTGGATTGTTACGAAATATAATGTAGGAAAATTTATCTCAGCCATTTTTATCCCAGATATGCCTACAGCTCAAATAAATTATAATAAAGTATGTTCTCTGCAAATTCATTCTATATGAAGCATATATTAAACAAATTTATTATTTTTTAAATTTTATTTTAGGAAAAAGTGTAAAAAAATGTCGTACAAAATATGGTACACTAGGCACATAGGCGAACATTAAAGTTTAGTATGGAAGTACAAAAAACATTTTACATGCATACCTACATTGCACTTAGAGCACCTTGTTTTTGCTCTATCATGACATAAGCCACATCTAGTTGGCTTTTCTTGTGGTATCACAAAATGATCTAAACGATCATAAGAAAAAGATGGCGGTTTCTTGTTTTGTTGTAACAAGGCTGTGGCAAGCCGCCGTCTAAATAATAATTGATCCATATGTCCTCCGTGCGATCTATAAAGTTGCCAGGAATTATGAACAGCCATATTAATACAGTGGCTGATCAATGAAAAATACCACTTTTTGCCCCGGATGGAAATGCTATATAGACCAATATTTTGATCATAACGATCAACGCCGCCCATATTTGCGTTGTATACATTTACAAGATGAGCCTGTTCTACCTAAAATCAAAAGCATTAATTATCCTTTTGACAGTATCTCTTTACAAAGCGAATTGGTTGCAATCGTGAGGCATTTGAACAGAGTGTTACTAAATTATTGTCATGCCATTTTACTGCAATTATGTTTGTATCGGAAATTTTGTTGTAATCGTAACTACCTCTTTTTTCCCTTTTCATAATTTTAGAATCTCTGAATTGGACGCCTTGTAAACGATTTTCTCTAGCAGTAGGTACCAGTCGCAAAGAATTTTTTTGTTTCAATTTTACCATAAGAGGGAGAGAAGTGAAAAAATTGTCGAAAACTAAATGAAATTTTTCATTTGGCCATTTTCTCGTCAATGCATCCGAATACTCTAATACCACAACAGCACCAACCCCCAAATCTGCATAATTCTTACTAATGTTGGTTGACGACCCATGGTAAGGTTCAACCCAGTAAACGTAGCCTAGTCTTGATGCGCCGACCCATAATTTATAGCCGTATCGTATAGGTTTTCCGTGAATGAAGTGTTTGCATGAGTGTCTCCCAAAATAAGGAACCATTGCCTCATCCACACTATGCATTTCTGTCAAAATTCCATGTTCCATAAATTTTTGATTCAGGCTCGCAAATAAAGGTCTAACTTTTGCAAACTTATCTCCTTGCTGTAAATTGTAGTTATCTACTAAATGGAAATTTGACATAATATAGGTACTCAAATTTGTGTCGTGTAAGCGCTTCTGTGACTTGTTGATTATTAGCATCTCTTTCACGTTCCCAGAACATTCTTCTACGTGGTACATCGACATAACCACTCAATATTAGTGTTCCAATAAATGCCCTTATTTCATACTCTTGCACCTCTTGTTGGCGATTCTTTTGCCCGGCATAGCTATTTGTTTCAGTTGTTATGCGTGTTATAAGTTCGCCGTCAAAAAAAAGTGAAAACCATTTAAGTGGAGTCTTAGAAGAATTATTTTGTTCAAGAATTTCTTCGAAGTTTCCTGAAACTTCTTGTGGTAGATCCTCCTTCACCCATTATACGTTTTTCGTTATTTTTTTAGCCAATTCAGACAATGGAATATTATCTTCGGAATCAGATGAAAATATGCAAAATTTTCTATGAGGTATGATTATCTCAGCAGGTGCTGGTAATTGTGAACCCGGTAGATTATCAGCTGACATTACATTCTCATCGCCGGAGCCCTCGTCGGTGAGAATGTCACAAGCATTGATTGGAGGCATCAATGTGATATTATCCACATTTGCTACTACTCCTACATCTTCATTTTACTCCAGCATAGCAAGGGCGTCCTCCAGAGAAAAGCCCCTAAAAATGAAACAGGCATGTATTTTCCTGGCGTACAATATTTTCCACACTCAAATATAATGACGCAATTGTGAATCCGAAATAATAACATAAGTAATTTGGCATTATAACTGGAAAAAAGCATGTGTGTTTTATTGGTAGAAGCAATCAAAACATTTTTTTTATTTGCGTAAAGACCATATATTTACTTACTTGGCAAATCGTATTCCTATTCAGCCATGTCACAAAAAATGAAAACTTATTCACAAAATCGCAAAAAAATCTCAATACAACGATAACACCCAACCGCACGTTACGATTTACTAAGGCTTACTGAATACAACTGTGCTATTACCGCGTCAAAATAAGCACAGGTCGTTGCAAGTCGCGACTTGTTTACGGTGTACCATAAATTGTACGCTAGGCATATCTGTGATAGTATTTTTGCGAAAACCATCCAATTTATATCTAAACTCTGGGCGCTGAAGAAAGACATTAAACGTAAACAGTGATCAGCACGTGAACAGATCCCTCGAAAGCATCCACGGATATACTCCAGTCACTTTAGGTCTAAACATCCTCGGCAGTGTATTTCTAGTGAATCCACAGACCCTTTTTCGTGTCATCTTGAGACTAGAAAAAGGATGACTGTTAAAATAAGTTACCTTGATCTTTCATGAGCTCCCAGTACAAAACATCATCGATATATTTTTGATGTAGGAACAACAAATTGGTTTAGAAAACATCCACTTTGAACCTAAATTGACTGGAGTAACATCGATCTACAGACAAATTCAAGGTCACTAGCAGTCGTCGGCGCTCTACGAATCTGCACAGGTTTGGACTTGTAAACGTGATTGTAGATGACACGACAGGCATCTAACAGTTAATTCACGCACAGGATTGCATTGCATACGCATTACGCATTCAGTAGCGTATACTCGTTTTTCGCGAGTGGAACGTTTTGTTTATATATTGCCTAAGATACGATGTCTGACACAGATACAGCCGACGAAGTGGTTGACATCAGCGCAACCCCACCCAAAAAAAGGGCTAAGAAGCTACATTTAAGTGCAAATGAAAAACAAATAATATTAAATATATACAAAAACCAAATTCAAGAAAAACCCGATTTGGTCGTGGACGAAGTTATATGTAAGGTAGCACATATTTCTGGAGTATGTCGGTCCAGTGTTTATAGGATCATTAAGGAATATAGGAGCACTCACTCACTTTCTGAGCCAAAACCGTATCCTGCAAGAAAAAGGATAACGGACGGAGTAGATGACTTTGACAGAACTGCCACCAGGAGGAAGTGCATAATTTTTTCTTCCGAAATGAGATACCTACAGTAGATAAGATATTAAGATTAGTTAATGCTGATGAGGATCTTCCATCATTTAAAAGAACCACATTCCGAAAACTTTTGAAGGAACTTAATTTTCGATTCTTGAAACGGGGAAGAAACAGTATGTTAATAGAGAAAGAAGAAATTGTTGTGTGGAGAAGGGAATACCTTAGGAAGATTCGGAAGTTTCGCGATGAAAAAAGAAAAATTTACTATTTGGACGAAACGTGGGTGAATGCTGGACATACTCAAGCGAAAGTTTGGGTCGACAAATCAGTAACATCATCAAGGCAGGCTTTTCTAGACGGTCTTTCGGCTGGATTGAAAAATCCTGCAGGTAAGCTCCTTCATCTATCCGGCAATTTAATTTTGATAAATTCGGGCAAATAATATGCTGTGATAGCAGATAATGTGTGATATTATCCAAAAATGGTGCATTCGCAGTGTAGTCATTAGGAAAAAAACTTCGACCCTCTTTTAAGCGTTATTTTGAAATTTATTATCATTTTTGGGTGCAGTCAATTTGCTTTGAATGGGTTTTGAGAAGTTGCAAACTTCAATTTTCTACGTTTTTCAGTTTTTGATCAGCATTCCGTGACTCTTAAATTCAGCTAAATGAACTCAATTGCCTCATTCCTTCAAATTTAATCAATCCATAGTGTAAGGAATAATTTATTTCCAGGAAAAGGCAAACGGCTGATCATTTGTCACGTAGGTAGTGAAGACGGCTTTGTTCCCGAAGCACTGTGGGCCTTTAAATCAAAAAAGACAGGGGACTATCATGAGGAGATGGACGGCAATTCCTTTGAAAATTGGTTCTCCAAAATGTTACTAAAGCTGGAGAATAACGCTGTTATTGTACTGGATAATGCCCCGTACCATTCTAGAAAAATAGAAAAAATTCCCACAATGGCAACTAAAAAAGCAAACATACAACAATGGCTGGCCTCAAAACAGATCGATTTTGATGAAACAATGGTCAAGGGTGAATTGATAAGTATAGTCAATAGACATAAATACAAATACGATTTTAAAATGATCGACGAAATGGCCAAAAAACAAAATAAAACTGTCTTGAGACTGCCACCCTACCATTGCGAGCTGAACCCTATTGAGCTGATTTGGACCAACATAAAGCAATACGTGGCGTCGAATAATAATACTTATAAATTTTCTGATGTTAAAAATCTCTTTCACATCGCAGTCAATAGAGTTACGGCAGAGGAATGGAAAAACTGTATCCGCCACGTTCGGGAGAAGGTTGAGGTCAAAATGTGGGATTTGGACAATGTCATCGATACCCAAATTGAACCTCTAATAATTCATTTAAACGATTCAGAAGATTCAAGTTCCTCTTCTGAATGAGTGCGCGCAGCTTACTTACTAATAACTAAAAAGTGTAGTTAACTCATTTGTGAATCTCTAACTGAAATTTACTGTAAAAGATAATAATTATCTTGTATGAAATTTTTGATGACTACCCATAATATCTTGATGCGGTCCTGTAATGTCTCCTGCGCCTAAACACTCACTCACGAGCAATATGCGTGTATTTGTTTGGGTTTAGTTTCTTTCTTCAGCGCCTAGAGTATAGTAGATGTATTTCCAACTCAGGGAGGAATGTTTGTATCCACTTCCTGCAATCCTTAGGGGACATGCCAATTAAGGGGAAAGAAAGTGAAAAAGAGAGAAGCGATGCTATTCCGCTGGGTTACTTTACACAGAATCAAATG